CTGGGGATTCGAACCCGCCACCTTAGGTGTACGTGGCTGGCGCCTTAGCCGGTTGAGCTATAGGCGCCGAGCCTCCTGTTTCTCTATTGATGTTTATTGGGTCTGCTATGCTTCTCATAGTAAGCTGACAATTTTGACGCAAAATTAGATGAATTTTTGCAATGTTTTCATCAGTTCTGCTCATTACTGGCTGCCTTGACCTCTCTTCATCAGTGATGCTTTCTCTCCCCTCAGGAAAACATTTGTACACTGCCATTTTCTTTCTTTCTTCCTTTTTTTTTTTTTGGTAGAGACAGAGTCTCACTTAATCGCCCTTGGTAGAGTGCTGCAGCACCACACAGCTCACAGCAACTTCCAATTCCTGGGCTTAGGCAATTCTCTTGCCTCAGCCTCCTGAGTAGCTGGGACTACAGGCACCCACCATAACACCCAGCTGTTTGTTTTTGTTGTGGTTTGGCCAGGGCTGGGTTTTGAACCCACCACTCTCGGTATATGGGGCTGGCGCCCTACTCACTGAGCCACAGGCACCGCCCAATTGTCAAAACTTGTATATGAGTCTGACAAAATAAAATATATATTTTTTATTTTTGAGACAGAGTCTCAGTTTGTCACCCTTGGTAGGGTGCCATGGTGTCATAGCTCACAGCTACCTCAGACTCTTGGACTCAAATGATCCTCTTGCCTCAGCCTCCTGAGTAGCTGGGACTATAGGCACCTACCACAATGTCCAGCTATTGTCTAGAGATGGGGTCTCGCTCTTGCTCAGGCTGGTCTTGAATTCCTGAGTTAAAGCGAGCCACCTATCTCAGCCTCCCAGACTGTTAGCATTACAGGTGTGAGCCACTGCGCCAGGTCTCAGGAGAATGTATATATAGACAGCATGTACATATATACACACATACAGAGAGAGAGAGATGGACTGAATTTAAGAAACTCTGGGTGTCCACACTGGGTAATTGGAGGGACAGTGGCTGCCCTTTTCCTTCAACCTCACCTTTCCGGTATATTCTGTCCTACATGGCATTAATGTCTGGCAAGTTTTGCTCAATACCCCAGTGGCCCTACACCCATCGTTCAGCACTGCTCTGAATGTCCCAGAACTACTCTTTGGCTGTGGTGACAGAGAGGGGTTGAGGAAAGGGCCAGCCATATTTGGATCATTCCATGGTATTCTTTAAACATGTTTTTAAAAAACAGCTTATTAAAGTTATTATCCACATACCATACATTCATCCACTTAAACTGTACTGGTTTTCCATAGATTCATAGGATGTGCTAACATCACCCCAATTTTGGAACATTTTCACTTACGTATCTCAAAAAGAAGCCCATATCCTTTCCCCACTGCTCCCTGCCCCAACCCTGCCCTTGGCCCAGTGTAAACATTAATTTACTTTCCACCTTGTAGACTTCCCTGCTCTGGCCACTGCACACAGGCCATATATGGCAGGGCTCTGAACACCGCTGTGAAGGTCTCCATGACAGCCTTCCCCCTGCAGGGCTCCAGTGCCGAGAACTACCTGCTGGAAGGCCCTTGGTGAAACACAAGTGTGACTGACCAATGCTAAGGCTGTGGCTCTCCCAGTGTGGTCTTGGACTAGCAACAGCAGCTTCCCTGAGGGCACCAAAGTGGCTCACACCTGTAATCCTAGCACTCTGGGAGGCTGAGGCACTGACCACCCTGAGCAAGAGCAAGACCAAGTCTCCTGCTCTACCAAAAATAGAAAAATTAGCCTTGAGTGGTGGCACAGGCCTGTAGTCCCAGCTGTGTAGGAGGCTGAGGCAGGAGAATCACCTGAGCCCAGTATGAGGCTACTGTGAGCTATGAAAATGGCACTGCACTCAACCCAGGACAACAGAGCAACTGGCTTGCCCCCTGCTGGCAGGATCTGGAAACCCTGGGGGTGGAGTCAGCCATGCATCCTGGCAGGGTAACTCTGATGCTAATTCAAGTGTAGGAATAATAGATTCAGGTAATGATCATCAGATGTTGAAAACATTAGGCCAAAGGCTGATGGGGAACTTTCTAAGCAGGGAGTCAGGCTGCCATCCCCTGAACCTAGGAGACATCGGGGCCTCCTGATACAAGTAGCTATGGGCACCTCCTATAAATGTGCTCAGGAAAAAAAAGAAAAGAAAAACTTCCCAAACAAAACCCTCAAGTCTCTAGAGTTTACTTCCATTAATAATAAATTTGAATGTTTTTTTTTCTTTCTTTCTTTCTTTCTTTTTTTTTTTTTTT